AGTGAACAAGAGGAAACACTGTCTCCCTTCCTGCAAACTAGTTCAAAAACTACGACCGATATTTAAAAAATGGAATATTCAGATGACCACGAAGGAAAAAACAACACTTCACAATTCTACCCACGCAACATGAGATGGTAGATAAATTGGATTGCTCGGGAGTTAACTGCATGGCATGCGACGCCTGCAAAGATAAATATATTTGCGAAACTGGGAGAATAATCAGCATACGAAACAAGGAACAAAGGCTTTGCAGCAAAAATAGATACCGAAAGATCAGATATAGCGAAACACATTGCAGAGACTGAATACGAACTCAAGTGGAAGGCAACAGAAAGAAGGCCTCACAGTTTAAGCACAAAGAAACGGGGTATTAGGGAGGCCATTGACATTCTTGGGGAAAAAATTAAATGAACAGGATATTGGAAGAAGGCAGAGTTAGTGATAACTTTGCCTACTGCCTAATCAAACTAGGAGAAAACAGGGATGCAGCAAGACAAGTAAAAGGAGACGCCTGGATCACGGATCTATCGTAAGCCAGAGAAAGAGGAATCGCAAGGAACAAGACGGTAAGGAACTTTCGGAAATCAAGGGAAGATGTTCTCAGTGAGTGTAGTCAGCTCGAATAAATAACTACAACTTTAGGGGCCTGATGTTTCATGTGACTAGGAAGACGGACTGGGTCACAGAAATTGGGCATTATGACCAAATTGACTAATAATCCACTTGAGATGCAGCAGGTGACCACAGTTTGCTCAGGATACGTGGGTTTAATCTTGGAGATGATGCGTGAGAGTAATGCTTAATATCCTCAAGCATGGGAGTCAGAGCCTAGGCGCTCTGCAGAAGAGGCGGCATTGTACGTGCCACTGAAGAATTGAAAGATAGCATCTGGAGTAGAAGTACACTAGGGCTGGAATCGAGTGAAATTGCCCAACAAGAAAGATAAGAAACGGATCTACAAGCTCATGAGGCACATCCCGACAGGAGGCTAGAGTCGGATCAGCCACTCGGAAGGGAGAGGAGCTGGTGTGATGAAGCCACGGTAAATTCACCACGAGGACATATCTCTTGAGGAATAGACTGGTGACAGAAGTTGTGGTAGGACGAGGGCGAGACAAGAGAGTAGGAAATGGGTAGAGGGATCAGGACAGAACGAAGAGTGATAGCATAACCATTTCGACAGAAAGTTGGTCAAGGGATTGACTTCATTTGTTTATTTGACGAGTTATAGCTTTGTGCTAAGAATGGCAAGACTTACTAGCGACGTCGGCGAAACGTCTGGGAATGTACCAAGTCCACGGTCCGACTCTGGAAAGTATCATACATACTATGGACTCCGGATAAGGTGCATTCCTCTAGATCTTCTTGCCAATATGACCAAGTTGCGAAAACAGGGTAAAAAACTTCTATACAATAAAATTTTCAGTCTCTTTCTTCCAAATCGCAAAATCAGCATCCATACATCTAACTAACAATTTGGGAGTTAAGGCTGCCTCTTCCACTTAACTTTCCCCAAATTTCGCCATGTAAGTATTCACCAAACTGTACATTATGTCTGATCCTATCATAAGTCTGTTAATAAAACCTTGTATCAAAGGAGAAATAAGCATTACCCATGTATAAGTCCTAAAATGAAATATTTGCTAGGTTTCAAATAAACGAACATTACTACCAAACTTAATGCTTGATTCCAGCTAGATATGCTAACCTTAGTCATTGATGAAGAGTTATTCAGTTATACAAAAGTTATACCCATTTGTCGTCCAGCTGTTATAGTTGTGGAATTTCTGTATATTTGTATATTTCGTACTTTTACTATTTCCTAGTCCATTTTTCCTGTAACCTCACCTTTCCTCGTCCAACAGAAACCACAATGGCCACTCCCCAGGATAACCAATAGCCTGGGGCTTGATATGTCTGAGGCGACGGACATGATAGTCACTAATCAGCTTCAAACTGCAGAATCATTGACTCAGCGAGCGTCATCAAATCTAGACCCAGCTCTTAGCGGAAGCTGCAATATTGGATGCCCTGGAAATGGCAACCAGACTGCATATTCAACTGTGGCTATCTCTTGCGACCCATTGCTAGACCTGCAGGAGACTGATTGTCAAGTCGACCAGACTACCATATCGGTTGTACAGCGTCTTCTGCGTCTAGGTGAGGATGACCAAAACAATGATGATGATGAAGACGTGAATAGAAATAAGAGAGATGACAACGACCTCGAACCGACTGAAATCTCTGCAGGTGCCCCGAGTCAAGGGGCTTGCCAACCAAATATCACAACCGAGGATTGAACCGAGGGTCTGAGTAGCAGACTTACTTCTCGTTCTTACTAAAATTGTTTATTGTACTAATTGTTGTTTGAATAAGGACCATCAGTTTCTAGAAGTCTACACTCAGGCAACTTCGTTGGCAAATCCTAGTGGAATGATTAGTTATTGGCTGTAAATGCGTCTAGTCAATTCCATTAGAGCAATGTAAATACTTACTCTTGCCATTCAATATTATTGTACTGCCACACTCTTTCAATCTACCTATTCGGTATCCATCCCTTTTTCTAACTTCCACTCTAACTCGGTGACGAATTTTTCTCTAATAAGTTATATTCGTAATTTTATGAGTTATCTAATTTACCCATGAACATCAATTCATTTATAAAATTTAATTACAACTTTTTCTTTGGTTCACCTCCAACCTAGGTCATGCTTAGACATACGTCGAGGAAACTAATCCATATAGCTTCCTTTGGAATAATAATCATGTAGGCACAATCGAACGGCTCACCAACCATCTTTTCATGCCTTTCAGGAACCATTATCAATAAAAGCATTAGGGCTGAAGGAGGGTCATGCTCAGCATGGCCCACATGAATGATGGTCAGGTTGTGGAATTGAATTCAATATGGACTCATATCCTTCCATGAGACAGGAACATATGGATCTCGTGAAATAAATGTTGTGGGATATACAAAGTAATTGTTGTGCCCCTGTATCTTGGATATACACCGACTTACTCAAACATTGACTTCCATCCATTAAAATTAGCAATCATGCTGAGGTGGCTAACAAACCAGATAATTCCCTTTGTGCCACAACTATCTTAACTGGTGAAATTTTCCATAGAATTGTGCTCGCTAGATATATTTTGGCTGTATAAAGGAGGGATACAAGCTTCAAAATCAACCGACATTGGTACTCTATCATTGCATAACCCTAAGCAACCCACTCAATGACTATACACAAGATGAAATCATCAAAATAGTTATCTTCAATTTAGTGCATCTCGCAATATATTATACCAAATATAATTAAGGTAATCCGGTGGGTGTGTGCATATGCCCCCTAAGTATCTGAGTTATATCGCCAAAGAGACTGGGCTGTTCGTTTTACCAGAGGCAGTTCTTAGGCAAAAATACGGGGCTGATGGGGAGATAATAATTGCATATACTACCCACGATCTTACTTGATCTTTGTGAATCTAATTAGTAGCAGCATCTGCGTACGATAATAAACCCTAATAAGGGTGACAGGCATCAAACCTCATGAGGATGAGGTGATATGACAATAGACTTGCCATGCATTTCATCCAGCAAGTGCCCATATGCTTAACATAATTAATATTGATGGGGTTGCATTGGCCTAATGAGGAACTCCGTAATGCAAGACATCTCGCCAATTTGCTTCGTCAAATTTATTGAGGACGAATAGTGTCGGTAAGACTGGAAAGGTAATGCTAATACCGTAGGAAACTCTCCGAACCAATTAGCCCTTGGTACAGACGAGATGCAGGCCTGTCTAAGCGTGGCCAAACACTTAAGTTCACGGCTTGAGGGCTGGTCCAGAGGACTTGCCAATCGAGACCGATCGGGAAGATGGCAGCTTCAAATGTCTTATACTACAGGTGAAAATCGGTAAAAGATTTGCTTTATGAAAATGGCTCCCATCAACGAACATCGAGTCTCAGTGACACCCGGAAGATGGTAATTCTCTTGGATAATCTTTTACCACGTCAGACAACTGAGCTATTTTTCACATATCCTTAGCAGGTCTTCGACTCCCTGCCTATTTTGAACTAGGATTCATCAGTGAGAATCTGTTAGACCAGCCCTATCTAGACTGGAGAGATGAATGACCTCGACGACTGAGGCTTAGGTTCAAAGTCCATGAATGATTAAACTGTGCCTAATTTGGACAGGGACGATAGGAATAATTGCCGGTTTAAGGAGTCTTTCAACGAATGCAAACAATAAAAAATAATTTATTGTATAATTAGCACAAGTGCAACGAATATGTACAAGTAAAACAGAAGAATAGCAAGATATAATAAGTTAACCGGCCTTGATGAATAAAAAGCCCAAGTTGGCGCATATGTACATGAACAAAGTGTTCTATAAGCGGATATCACGCGCAGTGATGTGCGTACATGGAAATAGGCGCCATAGATTATATCGGAGAGACCTTCGGAGTCGAGACAACTTTAGTGGTCCTCTGAAATAATAAAAGAAATGCAAATAAGCTTTGCACGTATGAACTTCTTTCTCCTCACATCGATGACGAGAAGT